AACGAAATTGGGGACTAGATAAATTTCTTGAAAATGTGCACCTCATCACGCCAAAGAGCAACTAAAGGCTCAGAGTTTAGAGAAAGAAGAAGAAAATCCCGGGAAGGAAAAATAAAGTGGAAAGTGAAAGTGCCTGAAATTCAAGAGAATTTATAATTCTCCTTTTTATTTGTTGTTGTTATGGATCAAATAACATGATAATAAAAAAACACGATCATAAGACAAGATGTCTGGTGTTTTTAATGAGTTTTGTAGCTGTTTAATTTTATTTATGACTTTTGCACTCAAAACAAAACATAGAATTCAGAAAATATTAATTCTATGATAAACAATCCACTGAATTTAGAATATGTCGAAAGGCTAAACTGTGGGAGTCACCCCTGCGTAAACCTTTTATTCAGTCGTGGCTTTGAGCATTAAGCATCCAAGTTCTCTAACACATTTCAAACAGAACTCCAGAATTCATAGAAGCATATGTATTATTAAAGATAGAATTAGTAAGATGAACAAGATAAGATTAATAAGATTGTATACCCTCATATACTGGTCATGTATTTGCACGTACACCGTCACAGATGCTATACACTCGAGTGTAAGCACAGAAATACACCAGCTTAGAGGCAACCACCCTCATCCCCGCTTTCCTGCACTGGTTTATGATTGTTGGTGTCGTTAGTTATTGTGCTGTTTACTTGTAGTTAATGTGTATATGCATAAATACACTCACCTTGCACATTAGCAGTACCAGGTTGGACCCCCTTTTTGCATTCAGAAGTGCCTCAATCGTTCATAGCATAGATTCAATAAAGTGCTGGAAACATTCCTTAAAGACTTTGGCCCATATTGACATGACAGCGTCACACAGTTACTGCAGATTTGTCAGCCACTGTCATCTCACTGTCATGCTCATGAAAATAATTTGAGATGATTGGAGCTCTGTGGCATTAAGGTGTCCACCTGGAAGCAGCCATCAGAAGATGGGTACATGGTCGTCATTATGGTTTTGACATGGTCATCAACAATACGCAGGTAGCTGTGGCATTTAAACACTGCTCAGTTGATGCTAAGAGGCCCAGAGTATCAGAATCGTTATTAGTATTTCTTAATGCCTCCAGCCAAGCAAAGAATTTCATAAAGGTCCCAAATCCTTGTACGTGCAAAATAACCCAGAGTAAAAAAAAAAGAAAAAAAAGCACATATTCATTACTCTATCCCAAATATTTTTATTAAAACACCTCGATGAGGTACTTTGGGTTTGTGCAGCCACTCCTTCTCAGATCAAAGTAAAGAGTTTTTCTTCATTTTTTTAAGCTACTTTTACAACAGCTTTTCTCAATAGACTGAAAAACAGAAACCCTAAAAGAAAACTGCCTTGTTTTACACACATCAAGAAGGAGTCAGACGACCGTCGGTTCATCCCAGTCAATTACCTCTGAGAGCTCGGGATGCTTCCTCCGTAGGATACCATAAACGTATGAGAAAAAAAACAAACCCCCAGAGAATTTATTATTTTGGTAAGAGTGAGAGAGAGAGAGAGAATCAATCAAGCTTTTCTACAAAACGTTATACCACTCCGGGTCAGGAGGGGCGATATAGCACGGATGA